TATTATGTATCTTATATATAATATATAAGATATAATATGGAATATTAGGAGCTTTAAATACTTGCACAAGGACAAGACAGCTTTGAAAAGAATTCACTCTTTTTTAATTTAAATCTAAATTTCACTTATCTGACTTTGCAGACTCAATGTTCATATTAAGGAAGATATGAAAATTTTGAATATTAAAAATGGGTTCTATATTTACACTTACATGTACAGCAAGTCCTCTAATAGGGATGTTTCATTCAATGTTATTCAGTTATAACGATGATGACAAAAAAATGTTGATTCCCAGTTGGGTCCACTGCCTATGTTGTTTGCACTTCTCCCCATGTTTGCACGGGTTTTCTACATGTACTCTGGTTTCCTCCCACATTCCCACATTCCAAAGATGTGCACTTTAAGTTAATTAGTGTGTCTACATTGTCCCAGTTGTAGCGAGTGGAGGGAGTGTGTGAGTGTGCCCTCCGATGGATGGCATCCTCTCCAGGGTTGTTTTTCACTTTGTGTCCTGAGCTGCTGGGATAGGCTCTGGCCACCCATGCGCCTGAACTGGATGGAATTAGCAGGTAAATAATTGTCTTGTTTTTATTATTCTTTCTTAAATGCATGTGTAGCTCACATTTATTTCAATGTTTAATTTTAGAAGTGTTTTGGTCTTTATTTAGAAGTGTAGTTATATTTTTGTAATCAGAAATATGCCATAGGAACTTAATTTGCCTATGGCAAAATCAGTTTCGTTATACATTGTTTTGCTTAAACTCCCAGTTTCCAAGAACCTATTGACAATGTTAAGTGAGGACTGCCTATACATTTACAGTATATTATCTACAATGTACTTTTAATGTACCACCTTAATAAAGAATTTAAGATGATCATACTTAGGGGTAATATATTTATCCCTATTAAGATAGCTTCTGTTGAGCTATCTTGGGGAAATGTTGGTTTAGTAGAAAAAACACCGGACTCTGTCAAAGATTGGGTTCAATTCCCAGTTCCAGTATGCCAAGACCCTGGGAAAGACATTCAGTTTAGGCCTCAGTTACTTTCTGTAAATTAGGAATAAGAATGTAGTCCATTACCCAGTTGCTGTGAATGATTATTTATTAACCGAATATTTATTCAAGGTCTTAATTCGTATTGGAATTTAAAAATTAATAATTTTTTATTGTATAAATACAAGGAATATTATGCATTCCGTTTGTGCAAGGCATTCTGCTGGGTACAGAGCTCAATTATCTTGCTTTTGTCCAATTTTGTTTGTGAAAATGAGCTTTGCATCATTGGGCAGATGGTCCTAAGACGTTCTTCCCTCAATCGTTTTTCAGCAACTTTTTATTGAGCACTTCTGTGCTTGGCACTGTTTCTAGTTTCTGGTGACACAGAGGTCAACATGACTAACAATTTCCATGCTGTCAGGAACCCATTTATCTTTAATTGTTTGAAATTAACACTAAAACAATCAGAAAACATGAGTATAAATCAGAAGGCAAAAAATAAGATAACTAAAATAGGAGGATAAAGGGGGAAATATTAGCTATTCTGAAAACATATTTTCTGTTTAACTTCCTTTTTAGTAATTTCTAATTGAAATCACTCACACTTCAAATATAAAGCAATTTATAGAACATTATGAATATTGGACAAGTTAATAACACAGTTAAATGAATAAACGTTTATTTGGAAAACTCATATGTAATACAATACTGCTAACTAATTTGTTTTTGACCAACAGAGTTTCATATACCCTTTATTTTTAAAAGAAAAATAAATATTTTTTCCAACAGAGAAAGTTGCTAATATATGTATTTGTGCTTGTTTCTTTTGAAGAAATTATTAGCTCTGTGAATAGTCCCTTTATCATTCAGCAAAATAATGTAAAATCAGCAATAATAAGAATGTTTATGATATCTCTATTAGCATTTGTATTATACTTTTACAGTTTATTGATAGGAATCTACATCTTCTCTTCTACTTACTCATTAAGAAGAAATGAATAAATATTGTATAATCATGTAACAATGACTCTAGAATGCCTTAACAAGGAGGTCCCCAACCTTTTTGTCACCAGGGACCAGTTTCACAGAAGACAATTTCTCCACAGACCGTGCTGGGGGATGGTTTTGGGATAAAACTGTTCCACCTCAGATCATCAGGCATTAGTTAGATTCTCATAAGGAGCACACAACCTAGATCCCTCACATGCACAGTTCACAATAGGGTTCGTGTTCCCATGAGAATCTAATGCCACTGCTGATCTGATAGGAGGCAAAGCTCAGGCAGTAATACTGGCTGGCTGCTTACCTCCCACCATGCGGACCAGTTCCTAACATGCCATGGGCCACGGACCAGTTCCAGTTGTTGACCATGGCTTGGGGACCCCTGGTTTAACATGCTAATGGGTTACAAGTTGCTTTTATAGTACTTAATGCATAGTTTGAAAAACTACATATGTTTTAAATTACTTTAAGGTAGTTCATATAGCCATTAAATCCTTAAACATCTACCATTAATATTTCAGTGGTTCAATACCATTTTTTTTAGGCATCTTGTCTTAAACTTTGCAAACTTAATAGCATAGAAATGTGTTAGGTAAAGTTGAATATGAGAATACAGCACAGCACTTCTACATTGAAATAGCAAATTTGAGTCATAGCTACCGTTGTCTATTGATTTGAAAATAATGAGTTAAAATTTGACATACTTAACATTCTCAGGTAATCATTCAAAAGATTTGAGAAGGCATGAGTAAATTATTCTTTAGAGAAAAACAAGCAGAGCTATGCTGCTGCAATGAGGAATAAATCTCAAAACTTGCATTAAGTTGAGTGGAGGAAAAGCATGAGGAGAGCTTCTATTCATCCTATGAGTCATCTATGGCACAAATAAGATATTCCAAATGAGCACAATTAACCCAGGGATAGATTTTAATTGACTTCAAAATTCTTACAGATTTGTCAAGAGCTTCTAAGTGACTTTCATGAGAAGCTTTTTGGCTTCCACTTTGACTCAGCCAGAAGCCTAACCAAATAGAAAATACAAAGACAAGCAAACACACACAAAAACAATACGCTTTGATATTCTTGGATATTATACTGACAATCCTAAGGTACAAAAGGGGTCAAGATCATAAAGAAAACAAAAAGCCAAAAATGTATATTACCATTATGTTATAAAATACTAATGTGGCTCAAAAATCTCTCAGAAACCTATAGACTAGAAATGTGAAGAATGCTTAGATTCACATGTTGATTGCTTTGTAGAAATAAAAAAAAAAGTTGTATCTCACTGCTTATTTACAAGTTTGTAATTATTGTTAGAAAACAATAAAAGTCAAGTGTATGCACGCTATGTAGTGATTTTGTTTGCCCAAACTGGCTGCTATTAATAAGTGATCATTGATTTCAGTATTAAGGAGGTAGAATACAAATAAAATAATATTATCTAATACTGGCTAATTTAAATTCTGGCTACAGTCATATCTAGTCAAACAATTATGCTCACCAACTTCACACTTACTCAACAAAGTAGAAGGGGGGTGTTATTCCCAGAAAAAAAGATTAACTAGTTCAACTGCTTTCAATAGGGGCCTTCTGATGGCTTAGCAAAAGCAGTTAGATACTATTAAGAACTCTTTTTCTTTTAGCAAACAGAGCATTCAAATTATTCTTCCTACAAACCTAGGGAGCCTGCCATTGTAAACTAAGCAAGATGTCATTTTAAACCATTTACCTCTTGACAAAGGAGGAGAGTATGCAACCAGAGCATTGGAGCAAAGACCCTGTGTTCTTTTATACACAACAACGTAATGTCTTTTTAGCGTATAGATTCTCTTTCTCAATTTATACTTAGGTAATTAAAAGCAAAATGTTGGTATCTCCAGTAAAATTCACGGTAATTACATCAACTTTTAATTCTTTGGATTTCTGTAAGAATTTCATAATGAAATAACTTCCAGAAAGCTTGCTGTGTATTTCTAGTGTTTTCGACTTTCTCTTTTGAATTTTAATTCTACTGTTCAAAAGTACAATTTTTGCAGGACACCAAAATAACCTCTGTGAAATAAATTATTGCTTCAAATTTTTCTATTTTTATGAAATTTATACAAATTTTTGTTATCCATGAAATAATTAAATATTGAAATTTGATGTGAGTTATTATATTGCTGGGTAGCAATCCATGGTGGTTTTATTGAATTGAAGCAAATAAATTAGGAAAGGAAGTACAAGTACAATATGGTACTTTGATTTCTAATATAGTATGTAGTCATTTTTATTAACTCTTCATTACTTATTTAATATACATCTACACAGGAAAGGTCATAGAACTATGCACCTAGAAGATACAAAGACTTCTATCATTTCCATAAAGAGCTTAAGTATTATGGAGAAGACTAAGATATGTTATTTATTTTTCATAAATTTCCTCAAAAAAATAACTCTTAGAAGGCTAGTCAAAGAAGAATTAGAAAACAAAAAAAATGGTAGCCAGTGTGTATATTATTGGCCAATTCAACAGTCTACTCTATAAGTCTGTCACTGGAAGCTCCATTTTGGGAACAGAAAGGGTCGTGGAGTCCCTGGCTCCCAGCCGGGGTGCGTGTCTGTCCCCCTGAAAACACCCCAAAGTTGCAAGAAGCCCCACTTGAAACGTGGAAAGGCGGCCAGGTTTTCAGGGGGAGGCTGAGGCAGGCCTGGGACAAAAGCAGCGAGGCCGAAGAGGAGGCTGGGGTGCCCTGCCTGAGGTCAGGGCCTTTCTGGCAGCACCCGCGCCCAACCCGGGGGAGTCATGGAGTCCCTGGCTCCCACCTGGGGTGCGTGTCTTCCCCGACAGGGGCATCCCAAAGCGGCAAGAAGGCCCCGGGTGATGAGGACATGCGGCCAGGCTTTCAGCCGGAGGTTGAGGCAGGGCTGGGAAAAAGCGGTGAGGCCAAAGAGGAGGCCGGGGTGCCCCGCCAGAGGTCAGGGCCTTCCCAGCAGCCCCCGCGCCCAACCCGGCGGTCATGGAGTCCCTGGCTCCCACTTGGGGTGCGTGTCTCTCCACCCAGGGGCACCCCAAAGCAGCAAGAAGCACCCCCGCTGGATGGGGACAGGTGGACAAGCTTTCAGGGGGAGGTTGAGGCAGGCCTGGGAAAAAAGGCCAGTAAGTTAACAACTTGTAAGCTGTCACTTCTGTCCTTACAAGAAGAAAAAAAAATGAACAAGCAGAAAATCACTTTTTTTTATTTTATTACAGAACTGAGGTTGCGGAGGAAACCACCACCATGAAATTTAGAGAGAGGGGCCAATTCATGGAGTTGCAGCAGAGATTTTGCTTACCTGGAGCAGAAGCTGCTGAAATCATACAAAGATAGAAACATACTGAATTAGTCCATTTTTACGAGGCTAATAAAGACATACCTGAGACTGGGTAATTTATAAAGAAAAAGAAGTTTAATAGACTCATAGTTCGACATGGCTGGGGAGGCCTCAGAATCACGGTAGAATATGAAAGGTATATCTTCCATGGTGGTGGGCAAGAGTGAATTAGAGAACCAAGTTAAAGGTGTTTCCCATTATAAAACCATCAGATCTCATGATCTGATTCACTGTATTCACTCCCACAAGAACAGTATGGTGGAACCCCTCCCCCCACCATCCTTCAATTATCTCCCACAGGGCCCCTCCCACAACACATGGGAACTACAATTATGGGAACTACAATTCAAGATAAGATCTGGGTGGGGACTCAGCCAAACCATATCACATGTATGAGGTAACTTTGACAAATTGCTAGAGGTTCAGTGGGACAAGTGTAACAGTGAGAAACTCCTGTGAGAAGTCCACATTTTTGTGGTTTTAACTCCAGGTACACCACCAGGTGCTAACATTGAAGACCCAAGAAAGATCCCCTCTTGGCATTAGCACATAGAGGGAAACCAACAAAATTCATCTGAATTGAAGACTGTAACAAAATAAAAAATCTCAAAGAAAATAAGTAAATTGATTTTAATTGAAATTTAAAAACATAGCTTTTTAAAATTTTTATTTTAGGTTTAGGAGTACATGTGAAAATGTGTTACACAGGTAAACACATGTCATGGGGGTTTGTTGTACATATTATTTCATCACTTAGGTATTAAGTCCAGTACCCAATAGTTACCTTTTCTGCTTTTCTCTCCCTCATCTCTTCCAACTCTCCCTCATCAAGTAGACCCCAGTGTCTATTGTTTCCTTATTTGTGTTCATAAGTTTGTTTTTTGCTTTTAGACAGTCTCCCTCTTGTCACCAGGCTGGAGTGCAATGGTACAATCTCAACTCACTGCAACCTCTGCCTTCCAGGTTCAAGTGATTCTCCTGCTTCAGCCTCCCGAGTAGCTGGGATTACAGGAGTGAGCCAACATGCCCAGCTAATTTTGAATTTTTAGTAGAGACAGGGTTTCACCATGTTGGCCAGGCTGGTCTCTGCCCACCTTGGCCTCCCAAAGTACTGGGATTACAGGTTTGAGCAACCACACCTAGCCTGTGTTTGTAAGTTCTTATTATTTAGCTCTCATTTATAAGTGAGAACATGAGGTAATTGGTTTTCTGTTCCTGCATTAGTTTTTTTTTTTTTTTTTTTTTAAAGAATAATGGTCTCTAGCTCCAACTATATTTCTGCAAGACATGATCTCATTCTTTTTTATGGCTGCATAGTATTCCATGGTGTGTATGTACCACATCCTCTATATCCAATCTGTCATTGATGGGCTTTTAGATTGATTCCACATCTTTGCAATTGTGAATGGTGCTGCAGTGAACATTCACATGCATGTGTCTTTATGGTAGAATGATTTATATTCCTCTGGGAATCTACCCAGTAACAGAATTGCTGGATTAAATGATAGTTATGCTTTTAGCTCTTTGAGGAATCGCCAACCTACTTTCCACAATGGTTGAACTAATTTACACTCCCATCAACAGTGTATAAGTGTTCCTTTTCTCTGCAATCTCACAGCAATCTGTTATTTTTTTGATTTTTTAACAATAGCCATTCTGACTGGTGTGAGATGGCATCTCATTTTGGTTTTTATTTGCACTTCTCTGATAATCAGTGATACTGAGCACTTTGGGAGGCCAAAGTGGGCGGATCACGAGATTAGGAGATCGAGACCATCCTGGCTAACATGGTGAAACCCCGTCTCTACTAAAAATTAAAAAAACAAAATTAGCCAGACATGGTGGCAGGCTCCTGTAGTCCCAGCTATTCGGGAGGCTGAGGTGGGAGAATGGCATGAACCCAGGAGGCAGAGGCTGTGGTGAGCCAAGATTGTGCCACTGCACTCCAGCCTGGGTGACAGAGCAAGACTCCGTCTCAAAAAGAAAAAAAAAAAAAAAAACCTCAATGAGCTTGTTAAGCAATGGAAAGCGGAACTTACCTGTAATTAGAAGTTAACCAGAGCCGGGCGCAGTGGCTCAAGCCTGTAATCCCAGCACTTTGGGAGGCCGAGACGGGCGGATCACAAGGTCAGGAGATCGAGACCATCCTGGCTAACATGGTGAAACCCCGTCTCTACTAAAAAATACAAAAAACTAGCCAGGCGTGGTGGCGGGTGTCTGTAGTCCCAACTACTCGGGAGGCTGAGGCAGGAGAATGGCCTAAACCCGGGAGGCGGAGCTTGCAGTGAGCTGGGATCCGGCCACTGCACTCCAGCCTGGGCGACAGAGCGAGACTCTGTCTCAAAAAAAAAAAAAAAAAAAAAGAAGTTAACCAGAAGCTTTCAAAAATGTAATAGTTGACACGGAAATCAAGGAAAAGAGAAAAATCATTTATGTGATTCCTAATAATAAAATATATCAAAATCAAGGTAGATTTAGAAATAGAGGCATTTTCTAAATGAAATTCAAGGCTGCCAGATTAGAAGGACAATATCAATATAATACAATGTCTTTTCCATTAATTTTTAAAATTTGTCCTATAATGACCTACAAATTTGCCCCACTGATAAAATGGAATCTGAAAATCGGGATACAGATACTGTGGGAAGAATGATAAATTGAACTTAATTACAGCAACAGTCTAGTCCCTGGACCAGGCCCAAGAAAACAAAATGGAACCATACTCAACTAAGATTAACAATTCAGTTAGCAAGTGGCAAGAAGGCCTATTGTAATTGAGCGGTTTTCAGTCTTTGGAGTACATGGAATCACCTAGAAGCTTTTCCACACCCATACTTTTCAGATGTTCTGATTTGTTAGGCCTGAGCCAAGGTGCAATTCTTATATTTCTGCCTGTTAAATTGCTATAGGTAATTCTGATATATACAAAGACTAAAGACTAAGAACAATTCCTTGAGTACAGTGACAACCTCCACCTGGAATAGTCCAAATCCTAATTACCCTGATTCCTCCACCAACAGCACCAACAGTTCCCAAACTGTTGTACTAGAAAGGCTTGTGAATGCTCTTTGAAAAAAAATAAAATAAAATCATGGCCATGTAAATTCATTGTTCTGAGAAATCCTGTTGAATTTACCAAGCATTTCAAAAATTGATTTATTAATCAATAATCCCAAAGTGCTGGGATTACAGGCATGAGCCACCATGCCCAGTCTTCCATAAGACATTTAAAGGCACTTCCAAAGGTAGAATCAACAAACTTGCCAAAAGTCAGTGGCAAGATCTCTAGACTCAGACCCACCTTCAAGTTCCAACCCCCGCAATTTAAAGCCAATCAATTGTCCTCCCAGAATAATATCAGATAGCAATTAACACGTGGTCCTCGACTTCTCCAGATTAGCTACAAAAAGATATATACTGTTAACAGGCGAAATAGTGTGAACTGAAGTCTTTAACAGATAACATTAATCAAAAACATTCCTATGGATAAATGATTATATATAAAAAAAAGTTTCTCACCAACAAAAGCCTCTATAAATTTCAGATTGATCTGATGACAATTTAACTTATTTTTTAAATGCGTAATTATGTCAAATAAATTTCACTACAAAGGCCTGAATACAGTCTCTGAGTCTAAGGTCCTCCCCATCTTCTCCTCAATTTCACATTTGATTATACGTATATTTGAGAGAACATCACTCATTATGTATTTTGGAAGTATCATTGGACATTATCTGATATTTCGAAGATTATTTAAACTAACTGATTGGAAGTCAATGGTACTGTTTGTCCTAAAAGGGTAGGATCCTCATCAGTAGACAGAGACATGTAAGAATAGTCATACTACATCTCCGAAATGTCAGTATCAGGCGGTGGCTTCAAAGCCAAAGTGGTGGTTGGATATAAAGTGGAATTTTAATTGGTGAAAGAGGCAGATAGTGAGAAATGTTGATTCAGTAATAACATGAAGTCCATGAAAGCCTGTGGTTGTGAAGAATGTTGAGCCATAGAGCCCATCAGAGATAGGAAAGGGGGCCTTGAAATATTCAGAGGCTTGTAAAAGGCTAAAGTAAACACCTACGGTAATTGTAATGAATAGTGCTTGAAGTATTTGCTTTTGACTACCTTCTACCAGGCTGTCTACAACCTTGGAAGTTTCTTGAGAGCAAGAATCAAGTCTTTCACAGCTTCTAGCATGCCTCTGTGTACCCAACAGGTCCTCAATAAATAATTTGTTACCCTGCTTTGTCATAAAATATAGGACATACTTAGTCGTACAGCACGATGTGATTTGATCACACCCAGCCTATGAGTGGAGAATAACAGTGTTGAATCTGTTTAAAAACAACACTCCCTATTCCCTTTTCACCTTCATAGTATGTTTGTTTGGTTTCTAGTAATGTTGGTTCTATCCATATGTTTTTAGGTAACAGTACAATCTGTGTTGTACCTAAGTAAAATTATATCAAGAATTTTATGGGGGAAAATCTAACACGCTGCTCTTAGTTTTGATTAAGATTTTAGATGTTTGAAAATATAAATTCAGATATTGGACAGTGAGGGTTTTATTTTGGAGGTTGGAATAGATTGAGTAGTAGTTGGAATAGTAGTTTTGGGGTAAGACTGCTAGGCTCCTTTGGCTACTTGTGTATGGGGGTGGGGAGAATATACAAGTTTACCAAATCTTTTAAATTCTCACAGTGCTTAGTTTTGTGACTGTACAGAAACTGGCATTGTTTTTCCTAGGTCTCAGTGAAGAAATGTAAGCTATGAGTTTAACATCCTGTTTACTGTGTTTTGGCCAGGATTTTGCAAGTTTTTGTGGAGAAAATTATATTTTTTTGTCCTATTTGTAACATATATGTATATCAATATGCTTCCTTGTGTTTTACTATGGTAAAATTGTATCTTGCATATAGATAAATAAGTCTATTAGAGTGAATTTTTAATATAAAATCTTTACTCTGAGGTGGCAGCCTTGTCTAATGGACCGTATGTTTAACTCTTGTTAATACGTCACACTAGAGCCCAGCTTGGTGGCACGCTTTCAGCCACTTGGGAGGC